GCGTAACAATATGAATAATTATTTGATATTGATTGGTTTGTTTGTAGCCTAAAAGATAAGTAGGGCGGTGTGCAAATCCCAAAAATAAGTACCAATTTTTATAATGATACTACTTCAGAAATGATTTCCACGATGAAGGAATAAGGTGATAAATATCAAACCCGAAATAATTCTAATATTGTATACCAATTGTATGCCAGATCTTCTCAGTGCGTCGCGTTTCCGTTCCGGTGTGAGACTTTGAGAAGCACTGCTTTTGCTTGGGCTAGTTTCAGCAACGTCCTCATGTTTGACTTACATGTTATCGTTACGTTGACATAGCCTCTCTAGGTTACCAGCTTAGGAAGGGTAAAAAAAATCGCTGTCTGAACACATCTATCTCTATCTCTATCTCTTTGAAGTATGATGTGTGCGTATGTTTCCTATAGACTTCGAAAAGCCTGGACCGCTTTCGACCATCGTCAATCAAACTATCAGCTTTTAGAATAAAAAAGAATCACAAATACGTTTCACCTAAAAATATACTGTCGAATTGAGGAACTCCTCTTTCGAAGTTGGTTAATAAATTATTATAAATTTCGAGTACTTTATCATTGGGATTTCGTAGACAATTTAATCCTTGGCTCGCAGTGTATAAATCACCGGTGAACTCCAGATGGGGGTCTCAACTGACCCCCGATTAAAGCATATAGGAGTATACGAATTAATTCCCTCCTTGTACTTTGATTGAATTGCATAAATACGGTCAACTGACCTGTCTTATCACTGAAAAGTGTCCTCTAATATTGTTTTATTTTGAATTCTAAAAGCGATGATTATTAACCGCATCACCGCGCCATTGCTAGTCGCAAGACGTTTTTACGTGACATTGGAATTAAAAAATCTCTGAAATTTGAAATCCGAAATTTGTGTAAGAAATAGTTTAGTTAGCTCAAATTAATTTTGATTGAACAAATATCAATTGAAACAAACAAGTCTATACGAGATTTTTTATGGCACAGATGGCTGGACGACGCCACGGTATATGTGTTGTCAAGTGGTGATGCTGTACCTTGAGGTACACAATAATCTTAGGTATATTGTATAAATTGAAACCATAAATTCCGGGTGTAAATTTTTTTTTTTTTTTGGAGTTTATGTCCTGGTATCTAGACCTTTAGGCCAAAACCCGGGCGTCAATTGCTTAATGCAAAACACAGACACAAATCACTGAATAAAATTTAAGGAACGTAATTCTTTCAATGCTATCATGAACTGCATACATAAGTGCTCATGCACTTTGATGCACAAAGGAATTTACGTAAATTGCTTTAATTACAAGCAACCAGAACTAAAACCACTAAACGACCGAATCAATTACGGCAAAATTTCCTAAGACTGATCGACTAGGGTGACCAGCCCTCAATAAATAGTAGCCCTCTCCGACCAATGTTGTGGTATTACCGGCAATCGTACGGGATAATCCCCGATTGACGTGGGATTAGCGGGGATTGTCCTCGTTTTCGGTTAATTTATAGATACCGTAGTGAACAATCGTTGTCAAATTCTGGACATCTGGTCGGAGAATTCCCGGAGAAAATTATTCGTTCGATCTAATGGTGGAAGAGTTTTGCGGCTAATGACCATAAAGTGGCGATTTTTTATAGTGTGTAGTCGCTAATTGTATGACTCTGACTTTCGCTGGGTCTGTAGTGATACAGCACAATATATTAGCTTGGGACATTGAGTATACAGCAACTTATATGTAAAACTGTTTGTTTCCTATTTTTGTTTTTTTTTGTTTATTGCTTAGATGGATGAAAGAGCTCACAGCCCACCTGTTGTTAAGAGGTTACTGGAGCCCATAGACATCTACAACGTAAATGGCACCCACCTTGAGATATGAGTTCTAAGGTCTCAGTATAGTTACATAAAGTCCGTAGTAGTAGATTTGGGTTTAAATTACAAGCTGACCTAAGGATAAAACTAGAAAGCTGCTGCATTCAATCAGCTAATAGCCGCGTAGTAATGACAGATTATTACGATTGCCGCCACCTGAGTTTGCCGGTTGTCCGGGCGTAGCACGCAATAACTCACCACAATCCACCCGACCCGGTACGTAATTCACCCGGATCTCAGCCAATAAATTCGTCACTGTGATTAGTGCGTACACGGGGTGATTTCTGCAAGCACGTTTGGTTTTAGGGAAACGACTTTTACATATAACAATTAGAAGCAAAGCTCTATTGAAATATTCATACTTACTAGTGGTAGGACCTCTTGTGTGTACTGGCGGGTGGGTGCCACCACCCTGCCTATTTCTGAAGTGAAGAAGTAATGCGTTTCGGTTTGAAGGGCGGGGCAGCCGTTGTAACTATACTTAGACCTTAGAACTCATATCCCTAGGTGGGTGGCGCATTTACGTTGTAGACGTCTATGGACTGCAGTAACCACTTACACCAGGTGGGCTGTGAGCTCGTTTAAAACGCCTATACATACTCATATATCAATCATGATCTACTATTTCCACGTTAATGGAAGATAGATTTCAATTTTATTTTCACTAGACATCCGCCCGGTGAGCTCTATCATGATGTCTATCAAATTATTTTATTTGATTTAATTAGGTTATTTGTCTATTGTTTGAAATTACAATGTTACTTTGTTAATCAAAGACCTAGTAAATTTTTTTGCTAACTATAGCCGTAGCAAGAGCAAATCTTCGTGCTACCATCGGATTGGTAGACCTAGTGTTTAACGGCCGTCTAGTGTAGTGGTAAGTGACATGGTCACTACACAAGGGGGTCGCGGGTTCGAATCCCGCCAAGGGAAGATATTTGTATGATAAATATAAATGTCTTTTCCAGGGTTATGGATGTATATTAAATATATGTATGTGTATAATAAAAATCTTACATTTATATCCGTTATCTGGTACCTGTAACACAAGTTCTTTACGAACTTATCACGGGACCGGTTAACGTGGTGTGGTTGTTAGTAAATATTTATTTATTATTATTTATTAGTGTTAGTCCGGTCCTCTGTGACTATTACTAAATGTATGAAACAGATATGGCACCTTTAGAATTTAAGTGACCTATTCCAAAACTATTGTTTATCGGTAAACGCCGAAAATCTAATTGAAGAATTGCAGTTTTTCAATTTCGATTTTAATATTTTAAGCCGTAAGGCGCATACTTTAAAGTTTAAAGTAAGCGCCTGATTTAAAAGAAACGGTAAGTGTACTTTGTCCTGTTTTAGACTAAAATATAAAGAAGAATGGCAATTTTTTACCTGAATTTTTTAAAAGGCGTCTTAGATTGAGACATAAACGAAACTTAATTATTTTATTAGCTCGTTTTTTATACGATGTTAGGTTTATGTGGCAAAGCCACGAAAAAATATTAATTTAATAAGCTTTTAATTTGGTTTTTAAAAATTTATATTTATGAACTGATAGAATCTTATACCTTTAAACGAGCAATTCTTGTATACTAATATACATATATATAATCTGAATCTAAAAAACGGCTCCAACGATTTTTATAAAATTTAGTATACAGGGGATTTGGGGGGCGATAAATCGATCTAGCTACGATTTATTTTCAGAAAATGTTGTTTTATTCGTGTTTTCAATAATCAACTCTTCCCGACATCTATTGGCGAATAATAATACTATTTTTTTTAATTGAGCGCAACTAACCGCTTTAAAGACACAACAAGATGGCGTTATAAAAAAAAAACCGAGCAAAGCCCAGTCATCATCTAGTACATGTTTATAAGTCGTTCAAAGTAGAAAACTAATTTTCTTAAAATTTTTAACCGCTCCAATTCTAAACGTGCGATATATTGAAATCAATTACACGCCTTTACAGTCCGTCAAAGTTTGTATACATTCCCTGATGTACTAAAAATAAGTGTACTAGGTTTTAAATCAATCAGATCAATGGGTATAACATTTGCGAGTCCATATTATTATATCGGGAACAAACAAACACAGGCATTGAATTGTAAATATTTGAAGACTTCACTATACACCTTGGCCATTTGTGGTGGAAACGTGTTTGGGTACGTCAATCGGCTGTACTTTATGCATAATAATATATTGATAGCATTTTTTTTTTCTTAGATGGGCGAAAGAGCTCACAACCCACCCGGTGTTAAGTGGTTACTGGAGCCCATAGACATCTACAACTTACATGCGCCACCCACCTTGAGATATTAGTTCTAAGTTCTCAGTATAGTTACAACGGCTGCCCCGCCCTTCAAACCGAAACGCATTTACTGCTTCACGGCAGAAATAGGCGGGGTGGTAGTACCTACCCGTGCGGAATCACAAGAGGTCCTACCACCAGTAAACTAGTAATATGCCGTAACAATTGCATAACTTTTAACTTCAATGAATAAGCTTGACTTTAAACTCTTCTTTTCAAAATATGTACTAAAGAATAAAAGAAAGACAATCCTTAGAAAATAATGTAATGGCATCTTCAAATAAATGTTAAAGCTAAAAAGTGTCTATAAAGTTACATTTAGTTTTTTTTCTTTCATAGATGTACCCCTATTTTTAAGTACGATATCATCAAAAACTACCAGGGCCTGTTTCTTTGGCTGTGGTATAAAACTCTTCCTTTGGATTCTATCTTCAGGAGAAGCAGTGGGTTTACAAGTTAATTTGGCTTCACCAGCGGCTGTCACAGATCTTTTTGGTATTTTACTTGGTCTATGATTGTTTGGTCCTTGATTTCTAGTCACAGTACTGATGCCTACTGATATTTCGTTTTGAGGTCTCTCAATTGTTATCTCAACGTAGGGCTTCGTGTTGCTTAATTTTATACCTTTGATTTTGTTTTGTTTTTTCTCTTTTTGTATTCTAAATCTTGTTGATTTTGAAGTCCTATTTTTCGATTCAATAGTTGAACATATGTTTGTATTAACATCAGATTGTGATATTTTATTGTTACTGCAATCAATAGGATTTTTGGATGAGCTGTCAAAACAAGGTTGACACGTGCACTCACCTACATTGTTATTCTTCAGCGTGTCTATAGAGCTTACTTGTTCAGAGCAGCAACAAGCTTTGTGCTTGGTGTCATACTCAACGCCAGGTACGGTGCCCCCATTGAGCAGGGTCACCGTCTTAGATGGTTCTAAACCCTGATTCGTACTGTAGCTTTGCTCAACTTCGAACGGGGTTGATTTTGAGTAAAATTTTCGATAAATCTCGGGGAGTATGATGTCTCGGGCATCCAAAACGTTAGCGTCGCTTTTCTGTGTTATAATTTGTTTTAATGGTCGTTTATTTGTCACGCTCGGACCTTCGTATATGATTTTGGCAAGATCGGCGGAACAAAACTTCGAGCTAAAAAACGACTGCGTACATGTTCCTACTGAGTTTCTCGAAACTGATGAGCACATGGTTCCAACGTTGTGAACGTCTTCAGCTATAAATAAACCTTCATAATCGCTCGTATTAATTTGTACTCTGGAAGCTGTCTGAGTTTTCCCACTTCTTCCATATTTACCTTTTTTAGCATACTTCTGAACTTTGAAACCATCTATGTAACGTCTTCTTTTACTACTATCTGATGAATCGACGTGAGTATCATCATTTTTACTTTTCTTGCATAGCAATAAAATCAATGTTGGTATACACCAGACTATCTCTAAAAATATTATCAGACATATGACAATAGTTTTCTTTGACGAAAAATCTATGTTGCAAAGGTTATGAAAATACGCGCAGGTATTGATTTTGAAATAGTCCTTGAAAGTCTCTTCGTAGCCATCATCGTTATTTGAAGTGTTCAGCAGTGTCAAAACACTTCCTAGAGCAGTATAAAGTTTATCATCGTTTAGATGGGGCACGATGTCATCTGATAACCATGTTTGGAATCTCTCATCGAAATTATCTTGATCGCCCTTACCGGACGTTTCTATACAGTTTTTGGCCACATCGTAATATTTGAACAGCGCGCTCGATGCCGATTCCGATTCCAGAGCAACTAACGAGTCGTTCTTGAGCGGCAAAAACATTGTACTACCTTGATCATTCCATTTCACATACGGCGTTGGTACTACGAAACCAACAGGTGTTTTAATGAAGTAAGCTAAAGATTCGCAAGGATTATCCAGACTTCTCGTTTTGAAGACGTGTTTTGGCGATTCTATATTGACTTCGATTGAATTTAGTAGTTGCGGATCGGGATCGCTCCAAGACTTTCCGTCTGTGCCTAAATATCGTTTAACTTCTTTGTAAAAGTTGAATATATTTAGCGCATTCTCTTGGGATATTGAACCTCCATAATAAGCGAATTTTGTTACTGGCAGTACCCAAGATTTTAAGTAACCACCTATAACATCTGAAAGGGCTACAGTCATTGTTTTGTCTGTCACTGGATCTCTTGCTTCCCTCTTAATGGCTGAGTAGCCAGTTTTAAAATAATCTAATAAATTATCAACAAAATGTTCGTCTACCCTGTACAAGATCCTTTGAGGTGGAATCGCATGTTGAAAGTATTCACGTGCTCTTAGTAATCCAATTTCGTTTGTGGTCCATTTCTTATTTCTGATGTCTGCATTTAGAAACAACACTGTTCCAACATTCAATGACTCTCTTGATTCGAATGTACCGTCTGATTGATGGCATACGAACAAAATTACTATCACGGTAATCGTACACATTATTTGTAAATGTTTACAAAATAAACGATAAAAAAATACATTCAAGATAATAATGTATTATTGTCAATGAGTCGAATGTCAAGATACTTGTAAAGAGGATTATATGTAATATTATCTTACAACGATGATTTCCCAGTCTCGGATAGAGAGCAGTAAAAGGTGACCAAGGGATTTAAAAGAATATATCCTTTATTGTAATTATAATCTGCAATTTGACTGATATATTTTTTTAAATATTACCTGTAAATTAATTTTAGGAAAGCGTTGTAATTTCAATAGTCAATGTTCAAGAGCAAGATAAAAACAAGCAACATTAACATTAGAAACGAAAGTGAATCTATCCTTGTTGTCTACTACAAAAAAATGTATACAGAACTTTATTAGCTGATACCAATTGTTCCTGAACTACACGAACTCACATAGCGTCTTTATAGCGTGAACATAGCTACGCTACGTTTATTTAAATATCAGTTTTACTATTCAGCTATTTAGTTCGATTTCGTTATAAGCTTTTGTTTAAAAATCAGTCTCACTCCATATTAGTCCAACAGTATCGATTGACTACTCATGACGGTTATCACACATGTCATTTGTAGGTAAATCTTCGCTACACCTCCCGCACCTGACGCAGAGCACTCATAAATAAAGAGAGCAACGCGTTTTTGGTATAATTAAAACAAATTCAGTAACTAATTAGAGGATTATACTACAGATCCAAAGGTTTGCTTTTGTAAAAAAAAGTATGATTACTGAATATTTCCTTTTTTTTGGACAATGGAGGTGCTCCTAAAACTTTATTGTGATACCCCTTAATGTGAGATTGTAGCAGAAAGAGAGCAATAATAGTAAGGCAACAGAAATCGGACGATGGCACCAGTCCTTGCGGTCTTAGGACTCACTGCCTATTTCTGCCGTGAAGCAGTAACGCGTTTCGGTTTGAAGGGTGGGGCAGCCGTTGTAACTATACTTGAGACCTTAGAACTTGTATCTCAAGGTGGGTGGCGCATTTACGTTGTGGATGTCTATGGGCTCCAGTAACCACTTAACACCAGGTGGGCTGTGAGCTCGTTCACCCATCTAAGCAATAAAAAAATAAATAAAAAATCACTCTGTGGGACAATAGGACCTTTTTATTAAAGACTTGTTTGCGAATGTAATTAAACTTTTTCCTTTTTCTATAATACTTGATTATGTCCATTAAAATCTTTTTATTTTATTACAAGCGGCCCGCTCCAGCCCACTCGGGTCTTTTAAAAAAAATTCAACGATATTTGACGTCGTTTTATTTTTTAAAATAAAAGAACACTTATTGCGGCATAACTATAATAGTTAGACATATGCTGTCGTGGCACTTTTTTAAATAATAATGTGTTCTACAAAGTCATAGTACGTCATTTTTTTCTATCAGCAATAGTTTTCGCAGGGCACGCGATGAAAATAATATTTTAGGTATATTTTTACACCTTGGGTTACATTATTGGAGCTTTAGTAAGAATCCCTAATTTTTTTCAAAAAAGATTATAGCCTATGTCACTCGGGAATAGTGTAGCTTCCAAACAGTGAAAGAATTTTTCAAATCGGTTCAGTAGTTTCGGAGCCTATTCAATACAAACAAACAAACAAATCTTTACTCTTTATAATATTAGTATAGATATAGATTTCCGTGGATGGCAGTTTATGGGAGATGATTGCGTCATCTCTTTTATTTGCATCATCTCTATTAACAACGCTCTTGACTAGAGCAGAGCTGGTTTATGGCACCTGGAACCATTAAGCGCGTCAATAGATAGCATCTTTGTTCTACTCCTTGCATTGCTGACGACCATGAGCGACGATCACCATCTGGTAATTATATTTTGTTTTCTGACTAAATGCCATTAAAAAGCCACTAAAAGAAAGGTAGACGAGCATACGGTCCTCCTCATGTTGAGTTATCACCGTGGTTCATGCACATCAGCAATGACAGGCGTACCGCCAAGCCGTTACCTGTAGCTTTCACACTATGATAAAAAAAGAAGGAAGACAAAATAATTATTAAAAACGGATTCATATTTTGATGGCCTTGTTGCATTCGTTTACAATTTGGCTCATGACTAATACAGTAGTGAGTGCCCAACGTCGCACCTCTGAATTTTCATTTGAAGCTATAAATAAATAAAATAAAATGCGTTCATTTCAGGCAACTTAAACCCATAAAATTTCACATACAATTCCATAATAATTAAAACAAAATACAATAAAATTAAAATTATAATTTATCTGAATTATTAAAAATTAAAAATAAATAAAAATCAATCATCAATCGAATCGAATGAAATTGAATTAAAATTATTAAAATTAAAATTGTCAACTACTAATATAAAATTAAAATTAAATAAACGAACTAATACAATAAATAATGAAATAATGTTAACTGAGTAACTATTACTATATCATATGAGTCGTCTATTATCAAAGGTGGCAATCTGTGCATTTGGACAATTTTTTTTTATTGGTATGTCAATACAGATTGATTTGAATATAATCGTCTCCTTCAAAGAATACGGTTCAAAACCTGCATTAAATAAAGGTTAATAGTTAACCTGTTATTTATCTAAGATGTCGTTCCGAAGAGTTTTGTGACTGCCAATGGAATACGAAGTCAATAATTCGTTTTTCTGTTTTACCAATCATTGTCCAAAAGTTAGATTGCCGGCTTTGATAATAGTCGACTCATATATACTATATACTATATCACAGTCACTGTGTTAGATTAGCGAGAGATAGATGCTTATTACAACAGTGTCTGATACAGGGGCAGTCGAGTCTACAAAATTTTGGTTATTAAACACATTTACAGCATAAATGCCTTTTATTCGGTTTCTGATTTAACATGTCGGTGCCGATAGCAGATTTGCTTTGATAGAATTGAACGATGTATATTTCGGCTTTTCGCGTTAAAAGTGTACAATTTCCAAACGAAATTTAGTTAACATGCCGAATCATTTGGTATCATCAGTATTTTTCTCATAAATACTGTCAAAAGAGCGTAGTTTACTTTTAGTTTTTTTTTTATTCGTTTACCTATCTTTTGACTACTATTACTTTAAAAAACAAATAATGTAACTGATAAAAGATAAAAAATAAATGTTGCAAAGATGATTAATATTAAAAATATCGCATGTTAATTAAACCTTTAAAACACTCTCCTGTAAAATTTGTAAGTTTTGAGATTATACAGTTTTTATACGAGAAGACGATTTATGTACTACCTATGTACTTGTATATACAAAAAAACGACTTTCCAACATTAAATAAAAATCTCAGCGTGACAATCTCCCAATAATATGGGGTGCGTGTAAGCGGTATGATTGACAGCTAATAACCAGTGATTTCCCATGGGCTAGTGCAATTTGCGGTGTGCTCACCCCAATGTACCGAAACCATGGTTTCCTTACAGATATTGACAAGCCGTGGAGCAAAAATGGCGAATTATCTTACGACTATATGCCGAATTTATCAATCAATTATTGTGTTTGTAAAATACTTATCTTAATCTTAAGATTTATAGGATATCCTTAATCTAGATTATATTATATATTAGAATAGATATATAAGATTATCTATTATCTTTCTTCTTAAAAAAAAACACTATGTGATTCATCTAAAACAGAGTTTTATTTATTAAATACAGTTAAACTTTTACTTAACAAATATCAACTAATGAAATAACTATGTACTAACCTAAAACAGAGAATCGACAATTAAATGTTCATGCTTTACTGTTCTTATATTCAAATTTGAATCGTCCTTTTTACTTTTATAATTAAGCTAATTCACAAGGAGTTTTATTAAAAATGGTTGAATGTTTTTCTAATACCTACCTACATACCCAAATATTAATGGTTCTGTCAACGTCAACGTCAACCAACACAAAGCTTACAGATATTTAAATCCTGTCATCAAACATTCTTAGCTACTCACTTAATTCTTAGTGAATATCTGTGACCTTGCTCGTTCACGAAGCCCGCTATAGAAAGCAGAGTATTAAATACACTTGACATTGGCGAAATCTAAAAGGAAACGCCATAAACCTAAGAGATAGACATATTTATATAATTAAGTTTCAAATTCAATAATATCGTACAAGATTTAACACGAAAATTTCTTATACACACGTTCGATTCGATACGGTCGCTTTAGATTTCCGTTCGGATTACCGCCGTGGAAATGAAAACCCAGATTCATTTCCGCATACGTTCAATACTTTACGTTTACCGATGCTTCTTCGATTCTTTTTTTCTCTCTTTTTTAGAAAAGTCTAATTGAAAATGAAAAAAAAACCAAAGTCCTGGTGAAGACCTCTTGTGAGTCCGCACGGGTAGGTGCCACCGCCCGGCCTATTTCTGCCGTGAAGCAGTAATGCGTTTCGGTTTGAAGGTCGAGGCAGCCGTTGTAACTATACTGAGACCTTAGAACTTATATCTCAAAGTGGGTGGCGCATTTACGTTGTAGATGTCTATGGGCTCCAGTAACCGCTTAAGACCAGGTGGGTTGTGAGCTCGCTCATCCATCTAAGCAATTAAAAAAAAATTGAGTCAATAAATGAGCTCACGGTTCACCGCCACAGATAGAACGGCGCAATACCTTAAGACATGAGGTCGAACTCTTAATTAAATTATGTAATGGCTGTCCCAGCCTTTAGGCCAAAACGTATGATTGGTTTGCAGCAGAAATAGTCGTGATTGTGGAACCTACCCGTGCAGGCTTGACGTTGTAACAGACAGTACGTGCCGAATAGTCAGGTAACATGGCTATTGTTACTCTGGTGAATGCGTTAGTTGCCTTTTATGGCACAAGAAGAGATGGAACAAGTCATCGTGGCCTAAAAGATTAGACGCCTGGTGCATTCGCATAGAACGATGCGACCGTGCCGATGTACGAATCTCGCGGACAGGTAGAAATTGTTTTTAATGAAATATGTATTTAGGACATGTTTTTGAGTGACTTCCACGGTGAAG